GGTCCGGTTTCGTATTACGGGTAGTGGGGAAGGGGGGGGGGGCTAGTGGAGGGGGAGGACATGAGCCAGGCTCGGCATGAGCGACGCACCCCGCTAGCCGTTAACCCCCCCCCCCCCCCCACACACACACACACACACAAATATCCAGCACGCGCACGGCAGTCCCGCGTGATAGGCAACACGCATGGTCGGGTAGGAGGCCGGGCAGTGCTAGGACAGCAGCGAGCCCCCCCCCCCTTCCCCTCAGGTTCGATCGGCCGGGAGCCCCACGCCACGCCACGCTCCAGAGGCTCGCTCCACGAGGCGGCCTGCCAGGTCCGTCCGTGGGGTCATTCATAAACCACGAGATTCGTGCGAGTGGGAGCGAGACGGGCGCGAAGGAAGGAGGGAGGGAGGGCGCTCCCGTCTGCGGAGAAGGGAGGGTGAGAGACAGAGAAAGGGAGGAGCGCGGCGTGGGGCGGGGAGGGATAGGGGTGCGGGAGGCTTTGGCGGATTGGGTTCTGTCAGAGGGGCGCCGGGGGGCGTGGCGCGGCGTGGCGCGGCGGCCGGGGGGTAGTAGTACACTACTAGTCCGGACATGGGCATGACGGACCCCGCGAGAGGCTAGAGGCTAGACGACGAGCGGGCGCCAGCGAGATAGGCGCCCGGGGGGAGGCTAGCAACAGACCTCCGGCGTAAACATCACGAGCCACATAAAGAAGGAGCGCAGGAGCGCTCGTCGGCCCCCGTCTCTGTGTGTGTGTGCGTGTGTGTGTGTGTGTGTGTGTGTACGTACGTGCATGTCGGTGTGCGTGAGTGCCACATTCGCATCCGTGCGGCGTCAGCACGCAGAGTGGGGAGTATAAAGAAAAAATAATCGTAAAAGGAGAGCGGAGGGAAAGCATCGAAAGTACAGTATCTCTCCGTCTCTCCTCGCACTACAGTCTCTAGTATCCCAGTAACTCTCCCTCTCCCTCCCTCGCCCTCTCTGTGTGTCTCCTCAGGGAAGCTGATCCTCAGTCGAGCGGCGGGCGCGGGCCTCAAGAGCCCCCGCCTCTGCGCTGCCACTCGCGTGGCGCGTCACCGCCGTCGCGTCCCCAGCGGCATCCCGCGGCATCCCGCACAGCCCCACCGTCGGGTCGGGTCGGGGTGCCCCCCATCTCTCGAAAGGTCCACGTTCGAGACGGATACACGCGGCGCTCTCAGTCGCACTGGGCGGGCGCCGCCGCGGCCATGGGGGCAGACAAGGACAGGCCAGGACGGCGCCGGCCGCCGGGCACGCGCGCCAACGACACGCCCGGGTATCGTAATGCCGGAATGGGCGCCGGCCGGAGAGCAGGCGAGGAGTTTGCCGACGAGTTCTCCCCGCGCCATAACTCACGTTCCATCCAAAGCAAACTGACGCGGATCCGCGACCGGTTCATTCATATGGCTCAAAGTGATCGCTGATGCAAACACGAGCACGGGACGCCTCGGGCTTCCGGCTCGGGGCGCCGCCGCCGCTCAGCTTCAATAACTGTTGGGCAACTTGACGCCCGAGGGTAATAAAAGCGGATGCTTCGCGATCCGCATCCCCGTATAGTGTCTGCAGTGCAGAAAGATGCGCCAAAACAGCCGTACTACTCCCACTTGTGGGGTGCATCTCCGAATGCGCTCCAGTGTGGAGGGACTGCTCGATAGGGTCGCAGAGGACGTATGTCGCCTTACAGGCAAAAGGAGTAGACTAGATATTGAGCAGCTTGTCAAAAGCCATGCCAACATTTGTGGCTTTCTTTGTGATAAGGTAATTCCGCGGGCAATTCCATAAAAAAGGGGAAAGTGGGGGTCCATGTTTTGATTTAGTGCCAGAGACGAGGAAAAAATTGTTCCCTGTTTTGTCAAAGGTCCATAGCTCTACAATTCGCAAAAAAAGAAAACATCATCAATCTGCTGTTTTCAGTTCAGTCTGTTTTAGAGATCTGATTGTAACCATCCCTCTCCCTCTTGGGAACAATAATAGAAGCCATTTTTCTCTGGTCTAAAAGAGCAATTCCACTCTTTTTTTTCGATTTTCTC